TAAATGGAGCCACAATGAAAATCCGCAACTCACTGTCATTCACAGTTGCATTATTTGATTACCACCCATCCAAACAGGGCTTTGGAGTCAATCAAATAAAGTCAATTGTGCGTTTTACTTTCCATGTCCTGTTTCCTTTCGCTCTACATGAATCTTTAAGAAACCAATTAGTATCCGATCATTTGTTTAATTTGATTTCTCACGACCTGCACATTTGAAAGATGCGGTTTCACAGAGTAGCTTGCAGTAGATATGAAGCACCCTGAACAATTTTTCACACCCTTTAATGCAGATTTACTTGAAAACAATGGGGTAGTTAGCATCTCTGCTTATTATTGACAGATAGTATAAAAATAGCAAATATTTTTATATTATAAAGTGGTTAGAATGATTTAAAGAAAAACTGTATCATGACAACTTTCTGTCACATTACAGTTATATGTATTCTGATCATTTACCCTTAAAGAATATTGTTAAAGTCAAGTTTTGTCTTACTTTATTTGGAGTTATACAAGTCATCAGAATATTCAAGTTGAAGATATGTCTACTTAATAAAACATACTATTTTAGAACTAGTAGTAATTCCAAACAGCAGAATCTTTAGTATATTGGTAATAAGTAATAAAAAATTGAAGTAAATAAAAATTTACTTGTACTCTACATAAATAGGGTAGAGTACATAACATTATTTTTTCTCTTTATTTAATACACATAAAAAAAAGATGTGATGGAGGTTTGATAACAATTTAGAACATCACACACATTTGCATGGCATGTGATATTCTATGTACAGTATATCAATTATAAAGAATGCATTATAGAACTGTGTTCACAGTATGCGATAATCATAGTAAAATACACTCTATGTCAGTAAATTGAAAAAATAAAATAAAATATATGTCACAACTAAAAGTGTCATCACATTTGTATTGCATGTTAGGATTTTCTTATATTGTTCACTCCTAGGGTATATCAAATAGTGTCACAGAAATTGTTTAGAACTCATCATTCCTGAGCGTATGGCATCACAAACTCTTTCAAATACAAACATGTTTTAAATACTGTTCATTCCCATCACCACACAAACAAAAAATAAGTTTTCGACAGGATAATGAGACAAAGAAATGTTTCAGCAGACACACAATCAGTCATTTTCAGTTCCAGTGAGCTGAACAGTACAGAAAGGAGCTCCAAAAGATGACCTCGAACATTTTTCAAAGAACAAAAAAAAAAATCCCTCTCTCTGCATACTCTGGCCTCGTAAAGTGTTATGTGAGAACATTAAGTGGTACCCCACTGGTAAAAAGTGGTTGTACAAATTATTAACAGAGTGTGTGAGTCAATCAGAGCAGATAATTATGCAATCAAGAGGTGAGAACGGCTTACCAACTTCTCCACCTGTGGACGGTTGGCTCAAGGTAATGCGGCTTGTTGGGAAATGATAGGGGCTGGATCACAGTTTGTTAAAATGATAGCTAAATATGAAAATATTATTCTGAAATATTTGAATTTGTCTAAACATGAAGTCTGAGATCTGTCAAAACCTGGTCCATCCAATGTTCTTCCTTTGGATTCTTTTTTTCTAAAGTTTGAGTTCAATGGTTCAATCAGGGTCTTTATTGCTGTTTTTATGTCTGGACCCTGACAAATCCTGATGTGTGCTGTTGTAGTGATTCTCCTTTTAACTGCATAAACACACTGAGCATGAAAACTGTCACGAAAGGGTCTGAAAACTGTAATTTATCAAACCGACGGCCATCACATTAATACGCTAGCACATGCACCATTGATTCACAGAGGGGAAAAGCATGACTTTAGGATCCCAGAAGAAAGAGTTAGGTGACAACTCACAAAGGATGTTGCATCAGATGAAGATAAATTTCAAATTCAAAGTGAGTCTGGAACACAGATTTTGAAAATTTGTCACTGGGCAGCATTGTCAATCCATGTGAGAATAAAAAAACCACACAGAGGTGGAAAATATGCTTGATGTGATACTGTAATTGGATCGATTAGAAAAGCTTTCGCTTCCCCACATTTGACAGCTTGAAAGGACAGCAGCCTGTGTTTAAAAGCACAAAAAGTCTGAGCATAGACAGCAAAACTTTGAGAATATGTTGCAAGGTTTGAAAAATGTCGCATTGCCAAAGACGCGTAACAGAACACGTAGATGCACCGACTGAAGGAGCCACATGGAGATGTAGCAGGATGCAACTGTTTAAAAGATTGTATGGAAACAGGCGAAAAGGGGAAAAGATAACGTTCGTGCGTCAAACAGGTGGGATAGTTAAATAAAAATGGAGTGTGGCCTTAGAAAAGTGATGGAAACATGCAGTTATCGGTATTCCATTACACTTCCTAGGCTGCAATAATACAAATAATACAGCAAAGCCCAGGCGCCCTGCTCGCCATAAAACAGCAGAGGTGAATAAGTGTACACCTCACATCTCACTTATTTTATTCTCTGTGCTATACTGCAGAGTCATCACTTAGACAAGTTTTACCAACAGCCTAGATTGCTTTTGGGACAGGGATGCAGTGCGGTCCAGAGCAATTTATCCTTGTGTCAATATGTCAAAACACCAATATTCAGCCTTGTAATGCCACTGTTAGTGCAAAAGCTTTTATGACTGCATTCCATTTGGCTGGTAGTACCGAGGTCCGTTCCCAGAAACTTGTTACATCAGATAATGAGAGGTGGTACGAAACCGAGTGACACAAACTGTAATATAACAGTTTCACAGGGCATTATTCTGTCTTTTATGGTGTAGCCACAAGATTCACAGCACTCTTATTAACTTACAATTGGACGCATTCTTTCTCAAAAGCGGTAAGACTTTTTCACATTTTGGAAATGCTCCACCATTTAACTACATTGTATTTAATTGAAATTGAAATTTAATTTAAAGCAATATAACTGTTAGGATAATTGGTACGTGGAAGGTTAAAGATTAACAAGGTACAGTTCAACACCAATCAAAATCTGAAGTGTGTCATATATTTATAGGTTTTGACCATATTAACATTTTTACATCGATGTAAAGTGATTTGGTTCTTGGTTTGGTTGTTATTACATATTTCCATCACTCACTCAACCCGCCCAAAACAAAACAGTTCCTTCTTAGGAACCTTGATAAGATGCCATAATAGTGGAAACAATTGGGAACAACAGCAACCCAGACATGAAGTGGAAGTTGTAGGTTTGCAGATGTTGTAGCACAGAGACCGCCAACTTTCTGCAGACTGCAAACTTTGTGTGGCCTTCAGGTTGGCTGACAAACTGTTTGTAGAGAACAACATTGAATGGGTTTTTATGGCCATGCAGCTTCATCCCAGTCTTTACTTTACCATGTGCAATGCAGAGCGTCAGCGGGGTAAAACAGCCACTGCCAGACTTCATTCACAACAGCAGAGATGTGTTCTTTGGAAAGATGAGTCACGTCTCTCTGTAGACTCTTGTAATTCAAGGTTCTCAGGTTGACAGCTGCAGTTAGAGCAGGAATTGCTTCTCTTAATTTTGTCAAGTATTAGGCTTGGTGCAGAGGGAATTTTGGTGTGGTCCTACTTTTTATCAGCTGGGCTTGGTCCCCTAATTTCATTTAAGTTTAATGCTTCAGCATCCCGAGACAGTCGGGACACTTTTATGCTCCCGACTGTGTGGGATAGGCCCCTCATGTTGCAGCCTGATTGTGCACCAGTGAACAAACAACAAAGTCCATAAAGAAACTTTACTGTCCTGCACAACAACACCCTTGGGATGGATTAGCGCCAGCTCTCCTACTCCAACTTTAGCTTCAATCCTCATAGATTTATTTCTCAAACATTCCCATAATACATTCCCATAGCTTTGGGAAAGCCTTCCAGCAGAAGATGTTGTGGCTCTAAAGGGCAGGCACACATCATATATAAAGAGCAAAGCGAATTTAAATAAAAAAAAAAAATCTGAAATGATGAGAAACATTTCCTAGCTTAAATATTTCATTCCACTGAAGCCTGCAACAGTGTAAGTAAGTAAGTAGTGTGTGTTCAAGTAGGAAATTGTCTAAAACATCTGCTTATTGCATGCAATGGGGTCATAAATGTCATCTTGTTTAAATGTTAAATTGTCAAACGTTTAATCAAAACTAAAAAAAAGAAAAAGGTTTAACATGAAATGATAAAATAAAATAGCCAGCCTGGAATGTCAGAAATCAGCTGCTTAGATGTTTAATATAGACAAAAGGCAAAACATTTGGGTTATTCCTTGATTTGCATCCTTCCTTGACGTAGTTTTTTTATTGTCATTTAAGAGATAAATCCCTTCTCTTGTCTCCCTCCTTCTTTGATTTTACCTGGTTCATTCACCTCCAAACTGAAAAGGAGCAGACCCACTTGCACGTTGCTTTGTCCCGCTCTGTGAAATGCCACTTCATACCACAGTAAGCCAGTTACTGGTTACTTGTTACTTGTGGGAGTTTGTGGGTGGCTTAAGGACCCAGTTAATTTTGTTCCATGTTCCCTGTTCCAGTCCAAATGCCAGCCAAATACCAAAGCAAAATTCGGAATCCTCATTTTTCCCCCACAATACGTTCAAGTTAGAAAGCCTGAACTAAACACAATAACTCTGCCAGAGACTTAAAAAAACGAACAAACAAACAAAAAAACACAATGCCAATGGGAAAAACAATCCTTTCTTCATCCTCTCGGCCTCATCACTTCAACATACATTTGATTTATATTAACAATATTATGAATAATCCCTCCAATAACAGCTAATGAGAATAATTGATCTTCAATTATAGATGATGTTTTTAATTATGGAAGGCTGGTACTCAGTCTGATGTACTAATTGCTTTATCCCTTAGGGTATTATCCCACATGGATGTGATACGGCTGCAGATGAAGCTTACTCTATCTGCACATCTGTATACAGATATTCTACAAAAAAAAAAAAAGTAAAAAATCAGAGCACATTCTGCATGTCGCATTCAAACATGCGTCTTCTTTGGCTTCGTCCGCAGAACTCACCTTCACATGGATCTTCAACGAGTACCCGTCTTTTGTCGTCCAGGACACGCGACGATTTGTCTCCCAGAAGACGGGCAACCTCTACATCGCTAAAGTGGAGCCCTCTGATGTGGGCAACTACACGTGTGTGGTCACCAACATGGTCACCAAAAGCAGCGTTCAGGGACCACCGTCACCTTTAGTCCTCCGGCTTGACGGTAACGGTGAACCTCCCTTCGCTTACTGAAATTTATATGGCAGGATAAAGGACAAAGTTTAATTTTTTAATTTATTTGTTTTTTCTATTTCCAGATAGCAGATTCTCAACATCACAGGTGTAGAAACTTTAATTAGTGACTGTCTGGCAAAAAAATCTGTTTTTGCAAACTGTTGGCAGGAAGTCTGTGTTTCATTTTATGACTAACTTGGCTCACAAATGTGCTCAGTTTGGGAGTTGATTAAGTTCACTGTTTTTTTTTTTTGTTTGTTTGTTTTTTTTAATGGGAAAGAAAAAAAATTAAACTTGAAATCCCAAACATTTGAAGACACATTTAAAGTTAAATTAACTTGAAAGCTGTGGTGATACAGTGTTGCGCACAAGCATTCGCACCCTTTAAGCATTTCCAGCAGCTAGCTGTGATGTCGACAGATTCGCCTACCTGAGTAGTCGATGTTTGCACATCCTCTAAAGCCTCTGCGCACCTTTTTACTGCTTCTCTGATGCTGCTGTCCAACCTACCATGTTAGGGCAACGCGCCGTAGTACTTTTACAGTTGTGCTATAATCTTTTTATTTCTAGATGATGGTTTGAAAAGTTCTTTGTGTGCCACTTTGCTCAGGTATGTATTTGTTTCAAAGTTGAACAAGCAAGCATCATTTTCACTTTCATTAAACAATGCTTGCACTACTTTATAAAGCCCCAATAAAACACACATAACTTTTGGTTGAAGAGTGACAGAATGTGAAAATGTGTCAGTTTTTGTGAGGCATTGCAACTCAAAGAGCTACAAGAAAATGGAGTGGCTGGTAACCTGCATGTAACTGAGTCATACAGACCTATACCATTTTATTTATATATATATATATATTTTTTTTCCTTTACATCCTTTGTAACCTTTTCCAGGCCTCGAGCTGAAATTATTTCTGAGAGACATGCGGGGGAAGTGACACAGTGTTATTCTTTGTTCCTGCAGGTGTGATGGGTGAATACGAACCAAAAATTGAAGTGCAGTTCCCTGAAGTCGTCCCTGTCGCTAAGAGCTCAACCGTCAAACTTGAATGTTTTGCACTTGGAAAGTATGTTTATTTTATTTTATTTATCATTTAAAAAAACATCAAACCCGTCATTATTTGTTCACTGCTTTAACAATTATTGAGGTGATCTAATTGATTTTCAGATCACTCTTAAGAATATGTAAACAGTGTGACATGCTAAGGTTACTAGCTTCACCTTCTAACTGGTTTCCAGCCGCTGTATGTAGTTCTTTGAGAAGACCGTAGAGACTGCTATTTTTCATTTTTGCTCGTGTGTGAATATCTTTCTCATCTCTTCAGCCCGGTGCCAACCATAAGCTGGAAAAGGGTTGACGGGGCCCCTTTTGGCAGGAAGGTGGACTTGAATAAAGCCAGCGGAGTCTTAGAGATCCCTTATTTCCAACAGGAGGATGCAGGGATGTACGAATGCATTGCAGAAAACAGCAGAGGAAGAAACTCTGTTAAAGGAAAGCTGTCTTTCTATGGTGAGTTCTGCAGCAGAATGGTTTCCCCGACTTTGATTTAAAGCTTACCTAACTTCTTGCCGACTGCCCTGGATATGAGAAAAAAAAAGAGAGGAAATCTTCTGCTTTAAACCTGTCATTCTTCTTCCTAAAGTGTCAGGTACATTTTTAGAATTTATAAAAAATCTCCTGCTTGATTCAGAACCTAATTCAAGCCACCGCCAAACTTTGCTTGGTTTAAAAAGTCTCACAAAGAAGAATTTAGCTTTGGTGTGAAGCTTGCAGAAAGTTTTATTTGTTCTCTTCCAATCTGTAGGTTTTATGAGGGTCCATTTACAGCTGAATTAAATACTAGAATGTGGTTGTAAATTAACCCATTTCCACCAGTTCATTTCTGACAATCCCTTTTATTGTTGCAGCAGCTAACAGGAGACCCAGACCTTTTAGATTTACACCTCTTCTCAGGGAGAAGCGATTTTTCTCTTACCAACACCGGACTTATGGCCTAGATTCCGAGAAAAGCTTTTAATGTCCCGAGATGAAGGATTTTTATAGTTTCTCTCTCCATTATGTTGCAGTTTATGCATTGATGAGGCCTGACCACATGGTCTTTGGGGATGTTGTTTACGGAAAGCAAGCAAGTTTGGAGGGTTTTTATTTTTATTTTTTCTGTAGAGTGGGACCTTTCATATGATGATGCATTTTTTGGAGTATAGAAAACTGGATACAATTCTTAGAGTGAAAATAGATCTATGCAGATCTATAAAATGCAGATGGAATCAGGGAATTGGACCCCTACAACGGAATCCACTGAAAGAAAAATAATACTTGTATTGTTTCTTTATTAATTTGTGATTTTCACAGAGAAAAAGCAGGACAGAAGGACTGTAATGGCTGCTGCAGCTTCCTGCTGAGCTCAGTCTCAGTCTTCCCTGAGAGTTCAGGAGTTATTTATACGTGATTAACTGAAAGTTAGTCATTTATAAGTTTGGCTCAAGTGTAATTTAAATCTTGATTATTATGGATTGCTTGACTATGGTTTAGTGCATGAAAATGATGTTAAATTCTTATGATTTTACAATAAATTTACATTTTGATATGTCATATTTTGTCATTTAGGCATGGGCCTGTATGGGATTTTTATGGTGTGATAGTCCTGAGTGAAAATGCCAGCTTACAATTTAATAGTATGAACACCAAAATGGTAAACAAAAATCCACAACATGATAAAAATATATATTTTTTTACTTCAAACAAAAGACTATAATCTCTCAGACAGTTAAAATAATATTCTAAAATATAGTTATTATATGTATGTAGTATTCATATATATATATTTTTTTCTAATTTGGCACAGGCACACTCATATGAAGATGAAAAAGATGAGTGTCAACAGTTTGCAATCCGTTAGCTGCTTCATGGTAATTTGTAAAATATTTTTGTTAGATGTATTTTTAAAAACCAATTAAATTCTTCTTGCGTCAAAAGTACGAAGACGTTGTGATTAAAAACGCTCCTTCATGTGACTTCTCTGCTGTATGTGAAAGCCCTGTGTGTCCTTGTGAGATATAACTCTTGTCCCATTTCACAACCTCACAGACTGACTTGTGGGCAGGTGATAAAAATCTGTAATCTCATTTTAACGTCACGCTGACGGGACCTTGTGGGACAGACATCAATCAGAGGATCGATAGAAGGATGCGGGTTTGTAGCAGTCAGACATTAGCCAGCCTGTGCCAATACATAGTTTTGTTTTCTCTTTTAGTTTTCACCCAAACTATCCCGCTAAAAGTTGAGCAGTGTTTTAAAAATTGATCATACTGATTAAATTACCTTGTAATCAACCAAGAGTGGGAGTTAAACTCACTTTGTCTTAAACCACCACTTTACATTTTCTCATTTTCTTACATTAGTGCAGTAATTTGCAGTCGTTTGTCAGTATTTTCATCTTTTAGAACGATCAGCAGAGGGTGTTGAAATCGCATCAAACTTTTCTGCCAAATGTTTTCTTTCAATATGATGGTGTTAAAATGAGTTTTTCAGGTAAACTGTTTGGACATTTACTTGTATTATTTTGTTTTTATCTCCTCCAAAGCAGCAGATGTTTGTAATGCAGCTAAACACATTTAGGAATCATGAGGACAACAAGCAAGTGTTTCTAAAACTAAACAAACTCATACATAGTTTTGTGACAATAATTACACTGTCATTAAACTGAAAATGTTATCAATAGATCTGTAATTTTACATTAAAAAAACATCAAAATAATCTTTTATTTCGACTGTTACGTTAAACAACTAATTTATTTTTTTTACTGCACAAGAATGTCATTTTGATTAACATAAGCCAAACCGTAAAGCTTTCCTTGTTCTTAGTCAGTGATTATTCACTTTTCTGCACAATAACTTTATACAGTTTTCCGATTTATTTGTATATTTTCCAAAAGGAGTTCAGCATCAGGTTAATTGGAAGTGGAGTCCTGACTTGTGCCCTTGGATGCTTCCTTAATGGATTGATTGCCCTCTTGGTTGCCTCATTGATTAGTTAAAACTGCTGCTTTCAGGTATTTCTCAGATGTTTCTGCAGTGTTACCGTGTTCATTCACACCGATGGTTTTGTGTCCTCACAGCTCCACCACAGCTGACAGAGAAGCCTCAGGACGTCCAGAAGACCATCGACGACACTCTAGTGTGGGAATGCAAAGCCAACGCTAAGCCAAAACCCTCGTACCGCTGGCTGAAGAACGGAGAGCCCCTGGATTACATGGAGGTAGAACACCTTTGGATTTTTTATTGGGGGCCAGAGAGGGGAAAATTAACCCCCCAAAAAAAAAAAAAAAAAACCTTGAGTTTTGTTTCACGCTGCAAAATGTGAAATTCAGATTCATACCACTCATTGTTTTGTACCCAAATAATGTTTTTTTTTTTTTTTTTTTTTTTTTTTTTTTTTTTAAATTAAAAAAAAAAAATTTTTCAAGGAAACACTTTTTTTTTTTTTTTTTTTTT